AAATAATGGAATGTCCATGGAAACATCAATAAACTCATCGTACAAAAGTGATAGAAATAATGCAGAAATTTGAAACATCAAAAATTTCAAATATTTGATTTAAAAGCAAATAGATCAAGAGATGAAAGTTGGAATTAGAAATGAATCGATTAGTAGAACGATTGGAATTCCAATTGTTTGATTGATTTGGTAAAGGAATTTAATGAAGAGCCTTGGTGTTGATGGCTTGTGCTGTTGATGGGATCATAGAATACCTCCTCCTTCACTTCACCTCCTCCTATATCATTTCATTCTGTTCTCTTGACAGAGCGGTTTAGTTAATTGCTACAATTCTGCACTAAGCAAATATCATAAGATAAACATGAGGTTGCTTAGAAGTACATTTTCCGGCTAAGTTACACCAACAGGCATTATTAATGATTTGTCTTCAAAATTTCCCAATATTCCATTTTAGGTCGAAAACAATTTGGAAAAGAATTCACTGGAAATAAAAGATTTGAAGATTGTAACAACAATTTTTTTTTCAAAAGCTGATTGAGCCTGATGCATTTCTGAGACATCCAAGGATTCTTGGAAAATTTTTGCTGTCATTTCATCCTGTCATTGTTCGCCCTCAACATGTCAGCTAACATTCACAATTGTTCTATATTTTTTAAAAATTTGAAAAAAAAATCTCTGTAAGCGTCCTCGAGAATTTCTGAAAGCTCTCCATATATCTATGTCTTTAACACTTCAAATGATACATTTTGAACAAAATGATTTCACAGTTAGCTGAGGACTTCCCAAATCCTTAAACTTCTGCATCCTTATTTTGAAATTTGTGCTTCAATTTTTCAGAAAATTTTAACGAATTCAACATAATCTGAAATGGTTTACTTCGAGATATTTGTTGCTTTCAAGGTTTTAAATCTATCCATCAGTATGTAACTATTGTTACACATTACGGCCCATTCCATATCACTTATCAACCTTACCACGGTACCACATTACCAGCCTATTGTCAGTGTAGAAAAGATCATTGAATCTGTTGAATCAATCCAGCATCATATTGGACATGAAACAGAAGAAGATGATAAAGTTATCCAGAAAATAAATCTATCATATGATGAATATTTGAGTTCAGGAAATTTTTCAGTTTCAGAATGATTACATCAATTCTCTCAAGTTAATTTTCTATTTGCATCATCAGATTAGACAAAATGAATGATTGTTAACTGAATCAAAATCGATTCATTTAAAACATATTTTGATTCTGAAATTGACGCATAAAGTATCTTCTTATGAATCCATAATTTTTAAAATAGAGGAAAAGTAAATGAAAAAATAAAACAGAAGAGTTAACACTGCAATAAAAGATTTATTAAAAATTAAATATTTGATTCAAGGTACCATTTAGTATGATCATAGGAAGCTGATGAAACCAATTATTTTTTGAAATTAAAAAAAAAAAGAAATTTTTCCAAATCGAACGTCTGACATCTTTGCGTTTGCCCGTTCGAAGTACATATATAAATTGATGAATTTCTTGAAATTTTGAGAAATTTTGTAAGGGCAAATTAAATTATGGATAAAAAACAACAAAATGATCTTTGTTTCGAGCAGCTGACTAGTCAATCACACTTCAAAATCGACGTATGATTGAGTAAAGCTAAGCTTACTTAACATTTTTCCTATAAGTTTTGGTTGAGAACTTAAAAAATGCGGAACCAAACAAATATATAACGAATGAATACTTTGTCGGATTCTTCTCTTTTTTTTCAAACAAAAACTAATTTCGCTAAAGGATAAATTACCTTTGATCGAAATCAGCTATTACGTGCATGCCACTTATTTCAGTTTCTTGGTCTAAGCAAATCTACTTTGTTGATCCAATGGCATTATAACAAGCCCACCTATCTTTCTGTGGACTAAATATGAATTCTACAGGGATTACTCCATCACATGACTTCTATATGTGCATGAAAGTTTATTCAACAAGATTGTTTCCCATTTTCTTTTCAATCCCGAAAGTTGAAGGATCAGAATTATAATACTGAGTGTACGCATATGTGTGAATAATTTACGGCAAATTTTACTTCCAATAAAAAAAAGCAACTGGCTATAAAATACGCATAAAAAAGATGTAGGAATGCATTGATTTCTTTATTTTTTTGATGAAATTTTGCTTCTTCAATAGGATGCTTTTATATAAGCAACAAACACTTCTTTGATATTTTTTTAAGAACTCTTGCTTCCTTTACTTCAAAAAGTTATGCAATTGAAGAAGCAACTTTTGCTAACAGTATCACCATATAGACATTTGATTTCTCACTTCCCAATTTTATTTTGATGTATAAAATTTTTTTTTTTTTTTAAATTTACTAAGCAGAGATGTCATTATACCTCAGAATTGAGTCCTCTCTCCCTCCTCTTTCTTTCTCTATAATATGACTGATTTAAATATTATCAGAGACGCTGATTATGTTGACAGTAAGGAATTAATTCATTTAGAAATAACATTGAAGAAGTGAAAATTACTTGATCTTACTGCTTCATGGATAGATTAAACAAAAAAAAAATATTTAGTTTTAGTGAGTGTAGAGCTTATTCCTTGCATAATTAGCATGAGAATTAACTTTTCATACGAAAACATTCGCATGCGAAATATTGGCAATTAAAGAGTAAATATAAAATGTTTTTTTTGATGGGAATTCGATCAAAATGATTAAAATATACATTTTGTTTCTCAAGCAACTATCTATTTTCTCAAACAAATACCTGTTGATAAAAAAATATTGCAGATCGCAAAAAATAAATAGATGAGATCATCAATGTAGCAGTGCTTAACAACAAAATTTGTTATAAGTGGATAGCATCACAAAAGTAATATAAGCAAATATTTGTTGAAAACTGCGCTGAAATGTCAGACTTCATTGGAATATTAAATTAAATGCCGACCGGAATCACATTTAATTTGAAGTCAAATTTTCATTTTTTGCTTTTTTTGATAAAAATTTTATAGCAACAATGTATTATTTAAAAAAAGGAAAACAAGGATAAAAATATCAGCGAATGGATTAATATGAATTAGTATGATTAGTATGATTTGGATCCTAGGCCAGTCCTATGAAATTGATCCTGGATTGGACTTAACCATCTAATGTGCAATTAAGGTTGGAACAGGAGTCATATCTTGTCAAATGTTCCAACAAAACTGATATTGCCGATAATGGAATTGCGGATATTTTCCATTTTTAAATAATCCCTCTAAACAGACATCATCTCGACTTATTCCATTATGTTCTCGTTAAAAGACACTATATAGGATTGGAATAACAGTTTTAGAGATAGGCTTTTAAGTACTAGAATAGGCCAGTAAACCTGTTCGATTTGCAATCAAAACATCTGATTTTTCTAAAGTAACAAGAAGAATTTGATAGTAAAGTGGATGGATGCAATTGCTGTACAGACAAATACAATCGATGAAACAACAAATTATTATGATGGTAGAGATAATCATGTTTTTAATCTGAAGAACTGGAAATAATTAATTTAAAAAAAAGCGAAGAGATCCGTTCGGATGTCACGAAATTCATCTCCACTTACGAAGACATTGTTATTATCCATTTTGAATTTACACATAACTTCTTCTGCATGATAGTTATTGTCGATACATTAAGTAAATAAGTACTAAAATATATTACAGTTTTATGTAGTACTGTTGCCGCTACTAATTTTTGTTTGTTTGTTATATTATTCTATCTCAAATGTTGACACATTCATTAATGTAGTATAGGCATTGCAATTCCAATGCCTCAATTTCTTTTTTTAAAATACCTACCTTTAAGATTTATGTTTTACTTCAAGAAAGATGATGAATTAGGATATCGTAATCCTAACTTATTTTTTAAACAGTAACTGTTCCAAGAAAATAATAATTTGTTGCTAACAATATTTCAGTAATATTACATTTATTTCATTGAAATTATCTAGTAATAAAACAAATGAGATATGGTTTCATGCAACACATGTGTAATTTTATAAATATTCTTAGCAAAGCTTTCTTTCATCGTTTAGATTTGAAAATCTTGTTGAGCTCGAATATCACCGCTCCAGACTGACTTTTTTTTGAAAGCGGTGTGTGACAAAATTTGCTAAAAGCGATTAGCCAGTTTGTTTTACTAATTGCAATTAGAGGATTATTTTGAAATTAGAGCCAAAATGTTAGGCTAAATTTGACCGGGCAAATATTATATCAAAAATTTCTGATAAATAATTTAAGATTTTAAATTTTAAACATTTCCCATTCAAAATTTCGAATCATTAAACATTTTATCGTTTAATTATTGCATTCACCTGAGTACTTATCTTCAATACATATCGTTTGTACTGTTTACAATAACAACAACAACAACGATAAAATAACAGTTTTATGTCATAATTAAATCACTTGATCAATTTTCTGAACACACCCTTTTAATGAGGATTGTAAGATCATTTCGAGTCACCCGTATTATTCAGCTCTCCCATTGGCATACCCAATTTACTATCCAATTCATTTATCTCATCCGGAATATAGCTTCGTTCTATTTCAAAACGCGGTTGTTCGCTGAAAATAGAATCTTTTGTAGCAATTACAAACAGTTACTTAGCTTAAACTATACGGTTCACAAATCACGTTCGATTACTAAAAAAGTGAAAATTGCTGACTCGTTTGTAGATGGATACCTTAAAATATGCATTTTTAGCTTTAATAATTGCCGTTTCACCGCATTTTGCACTTCACCATTCAAAAAGCAGTACAATACAGCAATAAATATGCCCTTAAAATTGTAAATTTTTGTTAATTCAAAAATATGAAATATTTGTTGCGAATTCAAACATAGTAATATGCAAGATTTGGCCATACTAATTCTTAGGTTTAATCTAATTCTAATTATGATTTTGAGTGAATATTCGAGCAGAACAACTATTTTCGGTAATATTATTAATTTAAAAAGCTATTTGATAAACAACCTGAGAGTGCTGTAGAATAGCAGAGCCAAGCATATAGACACTGCTGGGCTGCGATGGCTCGTAGAATAAAGGTATATTGGAAACACCTAGAAGTGGCACCAGTAAAAGTGTCGACTTTACCGTTCTCCTTAAATGAATATTAAAAAAAAAAAAAACTGATAACTAAGCTGAATAAGTTTCCTGGAATTGTGCTTAATTTGTTACATTGAAAAAATATGCGGAATTTGATTCTCGATTAAATAAATCAATTAAGCGAGGTGATAGGTCGCATTACTCTTATGATAAAACAATTGATAACGAGCATGATGGATAATTAATTGATATTAAAAATTCTTTAGTTCAAAAAATAATCACAAGTTAACAGTTCATTTCCAACAATAAATGCTATTCAATATCTCGAATAGTAAAATTCGTAAAATCTCGAATACAATCCCAATTAGATTTCACAAGACATAATAAGAATAACCATATTTTTTTCGATTCAGCAGTATTTTCAGCGCGCAACTTTTGAACCAATATGAGAATAATACCCAACAGGAATAATAAATTCAACTGAAAAGTAGCAAATAAAGGTTAGAAAAAAACTGAACCAAAGCGAATATGAAATATTTAAATGATAATTAATCACTTTAGCATAAGACATTCAAAATAATTTATTCGTAAATATTGAAATGAGAACGAACAATTAACGCTAAACCCATTGTTGCAGACAATATCCATAGATGAGCGGCTTGTGCATATGGTAACCAACAAAATGAATTTTGATTCTGACTTGAACGTCTCTGATGAATAATCGTCCAACCAACAACAACAGCAAATGGCACACCTGTAATTTTTTTATACTCCTTTCTTTTATTCACTTTATTAAGCTTGAACTGTAGAGCACGAAAAATAACTAATTTACTTTATCATCATTATAGTAATACAATATGTTGGCATTAGTTAGGAGAAATAGAAATAAATCAGTATTATTGGATTAAGCTTGATGTTATCAATTGCTATCCATTGTTAATATCATCAATAACAATCAGTTCTTATTGGAACATACAGTGAAGCTTTTTTATACATGCAGTACAACTATATGCTAAAAATATACTCCTTTGAGAAAAAAATCTTCTCGATACTTGGCTATTAAATTTCAAATTTCAACCTCAGTCAATTATTGACTTACCCCAACCACAAAAGAGGAAAGCATAATTGGGACAATTAATGTTTCTCATTGCAAACACGGTGAAACGACTGTACAAATATCCACCTTCAATAAGCATCCACATAACTGATGCAACCTATAAGTTTTCTCATTTAAAAATACTGAAATAAAACTGGCTATTATATTGATATTTTTCAAAATCATTTAAATTTAATGAGAGAGGCTAAATTGAAAAACAGGGTTAAATTAAAATAAAAGTACATAAGATAAAGTAGCTATTTCTTATTTCTTTTTTGTCCTTATTTACTTCCTCATATTCTTGAAACGAGAAATAACATATTCCATTTATTCATATTGATTTCAGGACACTTTCACCCCTCTTCAATTTTTCTTAACTAATAATTACTCCATCTTTCCGTATAAAGAACAGAAAGATTGAGAAGAATAAATATCGAATTTCATTGCAATTATCTTTCAACTTATGGTAAAAATCATTTAGTATAAATATGAACCTGAAAGTAAATGACAAGCCAAAGCAAAAGCTTGCAAATCCATTCCTGAAAATCAATTATTGCAATAAAATAATAAAACGATGACTCGAAATTTAAAAGCTACAATTCACCTAACTATGAGCAGAAAGTTCTTTTTTAAAATTGTCATTTTTGCATAAAAGTATTTTTTAAATGCCTTATAATATTTTTAAAACCATTCTCTACTAAGGTTATGAATTAATGAAAAAAAAAAAGATAAAATATGGAACACAACTAACATATTCATATAGAGGCATTGAGTTATAATAAGAACAATCCTGAAAAAAATTTGTCGTCTGCGCAATTGTCCATAAAGCCAGTACAGTAAACCGAAGTACAAAAGAGCTTGCAAGGTTTTTATGAATTGAAAGGCGTTGACATTGGATTGAGTCTAATATACCAAACAATATTAGGGCCGTTACCAGCAATGCCACAGAAACGATACTTAACGTTAATGATACGTTAATAACCATTTCACGGAGTAAATCTGGACACTAAAAATATTAAAATAAACTTAGAGTAAAAATTATTGAAAATTTGAACTCTACCGCTTGCAAAAACTTTCTAATTTCTAGTTAAATTTTGCAGTAAAGCTTTTTTTAATAATTTGCAAAAATTTTTATTGATTTCAAAATTACTCTTTGTAAAACAAAAAAAAAAAAACCCCCCATTTTTCACAATTTTGCCTTTTGCATTGTTTTAGTGTAGACATCAGAAGTTTTTTAGAAGTTAACAATTAATTACCGTCCTACAGAATCCAACAATACAATGTGGATGATACTTTAGGACATCAATACATTGTGTATAAATCGGTTCTGCCCAACTACCATTCTCGTTACAGATACGTTGTGCGGTATAGTTATCTACAAAGTTTTTATTTTAACCATGCATCATTAGTGATTTAATAACGAAAATATTTGCAATGAGACTGTCTAAATGTATTTGGAATATGACATTAATCAAAATGTGCGATATCATTTTCTATTCCTAGTAAAGATTTCAAAAATACACAAATTTCTCATGAATTTCAGATTATTGCATTTGCCATGAAATGCTATGCCATAAATTACACTGTGCAATAATCGTCATTATCATAGCAGATTATCATTGATATCATCCATAATTTTAAAATGAAATGAATATAAGCCAATTTTTTCATGTTTCGTAAAAATTTCAGAATTAGGTGAATAGCAGAAATTATATTTACAGAAGAGCTATTTTACTAATAAATAATCATCCAATCAAACTGACTCTCAATTTCTTCACAACCCACAACATTTGGACAGTACGAAAATGGACACTTCCTCTGTGCAACTTCACCGGATGCCGTTTTTTGCCAGCATAATGATCGATCAAAATTTGCCATGCAGTATCTAAAATTTAATTTACCAAAGAAATTATTTGTAAAATACCGTCTCACTCATCTTTTTTCTGCTTTCCTTTCTCTGCAATCAGTGTTTCATGAATTGATTAATTATTTCATAAATTTCATTAAAATTTCATGAATTCCAGTTGAGCTTGACATCCGGATTTCAGCACTTCAATTAACTGTATGTTGCCGACATTAATTTGCAGTAAGTGACAAGCGCTTCAGATAAATAATTTATGAGGTGAAACATCTTACATGTTCGAAAATTTCATGTATTTTAATTTCCTACCACTTAGTATATATGATGACAATACACCTTAATTAACAAGCTATAAGATCTTATGCTTAACAATTTTCAACATATAAATGAAGGGTATTGATTTGTTATAACATTGAAATTTAAAATTCAGGTAATAATTTACGTTGAATTTGCTTCTGTTGCAATTGTCTGGACGTACTGATCGACCAGCTTCAAGCAGATATTTCGCTCCCTGCCTACAACACTTCCACTCATATGTCAGTTTTCAGTTCCTTAATTCAATTTCCTTTAATTATATTATAATTGCCTCATTTGGTAAACATTAAGAATAAAACGGTTTAATCGAACCATATCCAAACAATATTTCGTCTTTTCTAATTCATTCTCTAAATTTGGCATTAGTTCGATTCACTTCACTTCACATAATACTACGTCATTTATGAATAAAAAAAAATGCTAATTTGTAAAATAGCACACTTCCGTACATCTGACATTTTTTGTTAAATATATTAAAATCAATTAAAGATATAAATACTGGAAGTTAATAGAGTTGTAATGGATTAAGATATAACACAAATTAAAAAAAAATATTAATGATATATTTTTAACAAAAATGAAGAAGTGCTTCTTGAAAATATATTATTAATGCTGTATGCTTGAAATGTGAAGTCTATATAAATCAAATTGGTTTAAATTTAAGAAGTTCTAAGGATGACAATGTAAACGATGAAAAGCAGGAAAGATGGTGATGAAATTGAAAATAGAATTATTCTTTGTGCAAATTATTTGCTCTTCAAGCTATCAACTGGAGAGTTGATAATGTGTAAAGAAGCGGAAGCTTTCTAAATTTTTCTTTTATAAGGATTTGTTCATTTCATTTAAAATAACTAATGAGTGGAAAGTATAATAAAGAATAGGTACTTAATTAAAAGTAGAATTTAATAAAGCATCCACGTGCGCAAAATATTTAGTGCAAAATGTGAAATAAAAAAACTTAAAAAGTTAACTGTTAACAGTATGATTATAGTATAATGTTATAGCGTTTAGGCATAAATAGATAATCTAGGACAGTTATAAATGCTGAATTTTTAATTGGTAAAACTACTGCTATACTTATGACATCACTTATGGCTTTTTCGCTCATCATTTGTGAGCATATTTTAGAGAAAACAGAATAACCTTTCTTGGACTTATATTGAGTTCCACTCTTTTGACTATTGAAGCAGTTGAAATAGCTCTTGTGAGCAACATTATAAATTAGTTGCTAAAGTTCAAAATCAAAGTATACGAGATTGCAGTCTTCATTCATTCTTATTCTTTTTATGCTTCTTATTGCACTTAGCTTTTTCAGAAAATTTAATTTTTCGCTTTTTTTTGAGGATAATATAGTTGATATAATGAGCTAATATATAATACATGAAATATATGAAATATAAATTTTATTCTTAATTTTAACTGGACAATAAATTATGCAAAAGCGGTTTGAAAATTTCAAAAAAAGTATTTAACGAGGAAATAATGAAATAGAATAATGAATTTGTGATATGCCATTTGACAGATACAACTCATTTGCACTTATCCTTTAGGAAAGAAGATTTCCTAGTAATCTAACTTTTCAATCCATGTTCCTCCAAATGGATAGAGATTCACTTAATGTGACTGGAACAATTATTTAAGCCTGATGCATTATTATAATATTACGAAATTGGTTCTGTGGAATTTGTGAGGGACAGTTTCGCATAGAATTATAATATAATTATAAATTTACTTAAAACGAAGAAAAATGAACAAAAATAGCAATAGCCACCGAAAATGTAATTACCATATGAGTAAAGCATTCAATTATCACTTTGATATTAATAATAACGCTGAAAGAAAAAAAATTAGCCCATAAAATATTTAAATGACAAATCATTCGAAATGAATGAAGCAGGTGTCATCATTCGAAATGGATGAAGCAGATGTTTTCTTCTTCTTTCTTTTTCTTTTTTCGTCACAGTACTGACAGAGTAATTAATAAGATAAAGTGAAGAGTAACGTGTCAGGTTGAAGTTTGAAATGAATGCAAACGAATATAAAAATGTAAGTGTTCAGTTTATATGAATTCTAAGATTAAACTTACCACAATACCTAAGTGAAATTGGCAACGTATCTCGTATATTACTAAATATTATATTAGAGAAAAAGAAATAAAATCATGAAAAGGGAGCGAGGAAATTATAAAGTTTAAAAGTCGCCAAAATATTACTGGTCATTGTTGTCATATTAGATTTATTCATTTTTCTATAACACATTTTTTTTTTTATAAATTTGTTCATTACGTAAAAATTGCAATAAATAATCAATGAAAACGAATAAATGATTGAAGGCATTTCGTGACAAAGAATGTTATGGAAATAATTTGAGAAAGAAAAGGTGAGAGAGAGAGAGATAAAAAAACAAAGCCTACATGGAATTTTGAAGTGTTACAAAGGATTTGATGCATAAAAAGAAGTACATATAAAATGAATCATTAATAGCACCTTTTTTTAGCATTATTATGCTAAAAATAAATGAAATC